CAGTAGCAGTAGCAGTAGCAGTAGCAGTAGTAGTAGTAGTAGTAGTAGTAGTAGCAGTCGCAGTAGCAGTAGCAGTAGCAGTAGCAGTAGCAGTAGTAGTAGTAGTAGTAGTAGTAGTAGTAGTCGTGGCGGCGGCGGGGGCGGCGGCGGAAGCGGCAGGAGCAGCGGCAGGAGGAGGAATAGACGTAGAAGTGGTAGTCCTTGACATGGTGTTGGTAGTCGTCGTCATTGTTAGACGAAGAGGAGGTAGCAGAAGTAGAAATCTCTGACAAACCGTGCTCATACTTGTTATGCTATACCCCAAAACCCTATTCTATTGATTCAGGCCCTACATGATGCTTCCTCCGAACCTAGAACCCTCCCCTTAACAGGGATCATAATGGATCCTTAGTTTTTAGGCCCTTAAAAGGAGGGGGTTTATTATTCATGGGTCTACATTAGCTTCAGCAGCCCAGGTGCGGATGATGGCGGCAGGCATGCTCTCCCTGGTGGCCAGCCTGCTTCTGGACAGTGGCTTGGGCCAAACAGATTGCGGAGTGAAACGCCCAGGGTTTGGGGTTTAGGGTTTAGGGCCTAGGATTTAGGGTTCAGGGTTTAGGGCTTAGGGCTAAGGATTTAGGGTTTGGGGCTTAGGATCTAGGATTCAAGGTTTAGGGTGTGGGATGAAATCGGACAGACCCGTTGAGAAGGACCCTCAGAAGGGAATAATATAGGAACCCAGGAGTTTCTTACGTGAATTGTCGTGCCTGGCAGCCGTGGGAATCGATTGACAAGCATTGAGATTCTTGAGATTCTTCATAGGTACCTAAAGGGAACCTCATAAATGAAGGGGTTGGGGTTTATTCAACAGAGTCTACATTAGCAATGGCGGATTAGGACATAACCCTGAACACGTCAGGGGTATCCAGCTTTTGATGAGTGGTTTCTGAGCATGCAGTCAGCTGTTCTAGTGACTGACCAACAGCAATGGCAAGATGGTGGCTGGTACTTCGACGGAGAGTAGCAGCTTTGATGCTGATAGTGCAACTAGCAGAAGCAGGACCTGAGGCGCTGTAACATCACCGGGCAAGTTAGGCCTGACAGCAATCCTGATACTTTGGCCATGTTCCGGGGTGCTCTCAGGATTTGGGAGGTCTTCAGCTGCACATGCCCATCCTCTTTTTGGTGTCGTAACAGCAGTCAGGCTAGGTATGGCCTCGTCATGCTTGGTGACTTGCTGAATTCTATTGTCGACAACTTGCGCGGATTGCTCCAGTGACAGTGTGAGGTGCGGGGCTAACTCTCTCTCTCTCTCTCTTCACCATCCCTTTCCCATCCAGCTCTTCGATGCCGGATAGACAGCACCAGGCTCCCCATTTTCATTACTTAGGCACCTCCATTCTCTCCCGATGCTCCCGCAGGCAGACACGCTGTCAGGCCCAAAATCCAATAATGAGCGGGTGCTTAGGGTCATGCGCCTCTTTGCTTAAACTTAATGTGTATGTGATTAGTTGTCACAGTTCTGGAGCCCCTTGGGTACATACACCCTCAGGGTGTCACAACCCTTTTGATAAGGACCCTGAAGCAAGGACCCAAAACATAGAGAAGCGCCCCAAACCACAACGCCCCAACTCTCCCCATCAACAGGCATTGCGCCCGGGACGCGGTGGCTCTTCATCTCTTACAGCCTCCTCTCTGGGATCTCTTTATCCATGCTCATGACCCCAGCGACTGGGATAGCGTTCGGGGGTGGGTGGAATGAAGATTTCGGATATCCCAGATTCTCAGATGTATTGCTGAACAATAAATGATGTCTGCATAATGCTTATTGCACTCTCGTAGACATTGATATGGATGAGACTAGCATCCCTGACAAGATATGAGAAGCATTCCTGATTTAACAATGGTAAGTTAATTGTATTGTTATAAAATGCTCGTAATATTACCACTAGTATGTATACTAGTAATAGTAATTTTTGTTGGAATAACGGGCAACAAGAGAAGAGAGAGCGGCGCCGTTAGGAGCAGCCATGATTGTAACGACCTCACCTGGCCTCCCCGCATGCTACATATGAGAGTATTGACTAGACTCCTTAGATCTGATTATGTAGGGGGTTATATAGGGGAGTAGTAAACGGCTTATTATGGGGGATACTTGGAGTTTAGACTATAGCTCATATGAGAGTACTGGCAATTGACTCAAATTTGCCCCAACTTACACTGAGCGGTTTTGAAGGGAGCCCCTGTAATCAGCATGCATTATTATGTATGTATAGGTCAGTACATCTAGATGTTGTGTATAGAAATATCTATCGATGTATATTTGGGCCTATTTATACCACGGATCCCGCAAGACGAGAGTTGAGGCCATCGCGGTGCTTTATGAACATCTCCGCGGCAATCAGCTGGCCATTGCTGTGCATCTTGCATCCTCAGGCTCGGGGCTGGGGTTTAGGGTTTAAGGTTTCAGGGTTTAGGGTGTAGGGTTTAATAGGCTCAGTATTCAGGGTTAAGATTTAGGGCCAGTTTAGGGTTTAGGTTCCGGATTCAGGATTCAGGGTTTAGGTTCAGGATTCAGGGTTTAGGGTTTAGGTTTGGGGTTTAGATTCAGGGTTCAGGGTTTTGGTTTCGGGGTTTAGGGTTGAGGGCTTAGATTTTAGGATTGCTTGAGTTTCAGGCTGGCATAGCACTGAATCCCTCGTTACTCGCGGGTTCTTAGTAGCGAATGAAGGAATGGACAAAAAATGGAGACTAGAGTATTACCCCATTCCAAAATGACATTTTCCCAGAATAGGGGACCCCAACAGAGAACCACCCCTAACAAACGACAGTTCTTGTAATAGGGAACCGCTAATCTTGGGAAACCCCAAACATCACAGGGCTTAGGGTGTGTAGTCCGGGTTTAGGGTTTAGGGTTCCCGGCAATCTCTCTAAGTCAAAGCATGCGAGGCCTAAGCCTTTGGAAGCTATTACCCTAATGGTCCAAGGACGCAAATTAATAGGGTTCTAGGGCCCAAATACTGTCATATTACTGGTTTTTGGGCCCTAAAACCCCATTATTTGGGTCCTTGGACCGTTAGGGTTATATTCTCGTGGGGTAGCCTTCGGGAATACAAGAAGTACGCTAAGAAGACACTGACGTCTTGCATTGTCTAGCCTCAGTTTGGCTTTTGTTTGTATACTGGGGTGCCAGGGCGGTGTGCAGGATGTCGGGAAGTTGTGGACCCCTGGCCCTTCAATCCCGCCGTCCACCTTAAACCCTAAATCTTAATCGCACCCCTGAGTTCCAATCCCTGCACACTAAACTCTAGACCCTAAACCCGAAACTTCAACCCAGAAAACGGTCCAATACAAAAGAAAGTCAACCCGGCACCAATTCAAAGCTTTGACCCGTCAGCCTAAATCCCAAACCCGAACACGGAACCTTCTAGAAGGGAATGGAGGAACGGATGCCTATAGCAGTCCCTACATAACATGTAAAAAATACATCTTTTCCCTTGCTTTTTTATTGCTTACAACCTCTAAGCCCTAAAGCCTAAGCCCTTCAATCATATACCCTGATCCCTTAATCCTAAACCCTATTGTATGGTGGTTTTCATGTTCTTTATTGTCTACTGGCAACCAATACCCTAAACCCTAAACCCTGTTGTATGGTAGTTTTCATGCTGCTAGCAACCAACAAGAAGTGGGCTAGAAGGCCTGGGTGCTGGTGGCCTCCTGGTCAACCCAGCGACTGAGCCAGAACGCTTTCCTAAACCCCTCCCCGAATATCCCCCCCCCACCCCTGGTTGGGGTTTAGGGTTTAGCCCCCCCAAAATTGAATACTCCCCATCGCGGTATATTAGAATCTATTGGTAGTAGGGATGGTGGGGGGGGAGGGTAATATTAGGGGGAGGGGATCAAAACCTAAACAAGGGGTGGGCAACAGACGGCTTGGTGATGTAGAGTGTATGTTTTGCATGTTCACGTTTTTTCGGGTGCCTTGCAGATTCCATGCAGCTTTGCTTAAACTTCTGAACTTTAAAAAACCCTGGGGCGGAGGGCTTCCTTCTTTTTCCTTACTGGGCTTGTCGTTTGGGTTCCGTTGTCTCTAGCGTTTAGGGTTTCGTCTTGGAGTTTGAGGGGTTCAGGGTTAATAAGGGTTCAGGGTGCAGTGTTAGGCCCTGAGAATGGTGTTCGCTTTGCTTCAAGCGCATGTCTCTCTCTCTCTCTCTCTCTCTATCCCTAACTCCGGGACTCCCAATGTTTGTGTTGAGCTCAGTTGATGCACTGCTCCTCTGTCCTGAGCCCTCACTAGCCACAAGCCTAAAACCTAACACCCCAAACCCGAGACAGCCTAACCTCCAAAACTGAATGCTGAGTTGATGCACTACTCCCTGCTCGAATTTGGCTGGCGAGAAACTCAGCGACTTTGCGCAGCCACTTGCGCCATGGCACCTGGGCAAGGGCTCGTGGATGGGTTCCCAGACAAGGTAGAGCCTCATATGGTGGTTTTCCAAAATTAGAGGTACCATTTTAGGGGTTCCCATAGTAAGGGTTGTAATATTTTGGGGTCTATATTGGTGTATCCTAATTTTTGGGAAACTACCATATGAGCCATGATCTAAAGTCCTTAAAAGGGGTTATATAAGGGATAATATAGGGGACTACTATAGGGCTTATTAAAGGGAATATTCGGAGTTTAGACTATGGCTCATATTGATGTGGTTTGTGAGGAGGGCATATATGCTCGGTTTTCTATTTGTGGGGTGGGGTGGGGCGGGGGATGATTCAAAACTTAAGGCTCGCAATTGCACGGCTTCAAGGTTTTGGGACCTGATGGGTATAGCAATAAGAAGAGTACCAATAATAGTAAGAGTGATACTAGTAGTACTAAAAGTGAAAAGAAAGCAACAACAATATCAGACAGCATCATGCCAGTAAGCTCTGAGAACTAAGGCTTAAGGGTTTAGGCTGATGGACGTTTGGGCGACTGTCGTTGCAGTAAAGAACATAGCATGCTGAGGTGCAAAGATGCAATTTTGATTTCGGAAGCAAGCGAAACGGAAGTTTCAATGAAGGTTTTGACAACATGCCCGTTTGGAGCAAAACCATGTCAGGTATTGGCAGCTAGTCTACTGGGACTCTGGTGGTCCACGCGTGCCCGGCCAAGCAGCCGCGTGACAGGGGTGGGCGCGCCGCCCTTGAAGAGGTTCCATGCTAGGGCCAGAGTTTGAGGCTTCTAGGCTTCAGTTATTGGGGTTTACGGATCAAGGCATGGGCTCTGTACGGATCGTGGGCTTTTCGGGGTTGGGATTGCGGACTTTTGTGATCTGGTGTATCGTCTTGGGAGCCGAAATTAAGTTGATCCCTTTCAAGGACTTGAGTACCATGCCTTAATCTGCCTAGTCTAGCAGGTCGTTGTCTTCTGCTCCCGCAAGAGCACTACTGCCTTACCAGCCAAGGTGTTGCTGTCGCAGGTCCCTTTTCCATGTAGAGTAGAAGTCTTAGACTACTTAGAGGTTCCTGGAGGAGATGTTGAAGAAACAACCGCTTCAATGTTGGAGCCCGATTCTTGCCAAGTCTGCTGTTGCTCGCCTGCCCCCTTGAATTGTGATTCGCGGGCAATCTGGAAATTTCTGGAGTCTTAAGATGGCTGGCCCCATTGTTTCCTTGAGTTTTGGATAGCAGGCCTTTACCCAATTGGCCTCAACCCACAAGTTCTGAACTCACAGACCAAATAATATACAGACTTTGCAGCAGAAGTCCTGGAGCTGAATACAGAAACTCTAAACCCTAAACCCCTAAAAAGGGTTCAGGGCTTCGGGTTTAGCGTTACCCGTTACGCTGAAGGATGGTTTTGCATAGCGGTACTTTGACTTGAAGTTTCTACAAATTACCATATATCCCTGTTATCCCATTTGTATGAGATCTAGACGTCAATCTTCCAAGCACGAAGCGCCAGTATCTTGAGCCATTGGGTCGGGCATGACACGGGAACTACACCGATACTGCACTTTTGACCACCAGTGAGCCTCCCAGCAGTTTACCCCAAACCCCTCAACCATCTGGAACCCCCCGAAGCCCTAAACCCCGGTTTAGGGTTTAGGGTTTAGGGCTAACCACCTATGGCCCATGATCATGTACCTCCAAGTGAGCGCCGCCGAGCAGGTCTCTGTCCTCGGCCCTGAAAGAGCACGGCCAGGAACCGCAAAATGATGTTTGAGGTTTAGGGTCTAGGATGTAGCATAGGGTCCAGTTCTTATTAGGGTTTAGCCTTAGGGCTCAGGTAGGGTCAAAGTGTTTGGGGTCTAAATGTTTGAGGGTTTGGGGCCTAGCGGTTCAGCGTATAGGGTTGAAGGATTAACGTTTAAGGTTTACTGTTGGACTAGAGGAAGTATAGGGTAGTTTCCCTAAATAAGGGACCCAATATAGACCCCAGTATACTATGATCCTTATTAGGGGGACCCCCAAAAAGGTACCCCTAATTTTGGGAAACCCCTATAGAGTAAACACAGCATGCAATGATGATTATTGGGCCCATGTTCTTGGGCTGCTTGCAGACTTAGACACGTGTCAGCTATAGTCTGTACCCCTAGAAACCCCCCTTGATCGCCCCTCTAGTAGTGCCTATATAATACCTATATACCCCCCCCCCCTTAAGGAGTTTTTACCCTAAACCCTATAAGCCCTAAGCCCTTATAACCCCTAACCCTAAGCCCTATAGCTCATGTGGAATTTCATGTGAAGGGGTTCCTTCCGCACACGTTGTCTCCATGCCCTTACCTTTGGTTAGCTGGGAATGGAGGGACGGAAAAGAAAATGGAAACGACTATAATGGGTATAGGTTCTAGAAGGCATGGAAAAGAAAATGAAAACTACTAGAATGGGTTATATCCCGACTACTATCCCTAAACCCTATAACGGGTTATATAATTACATAAGGAATACCATAAGGATCCATTCCTTCATTACCACGCGCTCTATGCACAAAATCAACTCAGGCAGAACGGCTCTGCCACAGAAACTTCACGATTTGGATTGATGCTTGATGGAGCTGCTGTATCCCTAGCCCCTGAATTATGGGTATTCCCAACATAGGATCACCATGTATGGGGGAATGCATATTATGAAGGGGGTGAGTGTCATTATTAGCGGGAGTTGCTTGCAAAAAAGGAGGTAGCCAGCTTCGTACATAGACTGCTTCCCTGTGTGCTAGTGTCCACTGGAACAGAGCCCTTCTGTACATACCCCAAAAGTCTCCTACGCTTAACTCCAAGCTCTTGCAAACAAAGTTGCCCATGTGGAGATCTTGTGTGAAGTATCTGCAACTCCCGCAAGCTTCCAGTTTTACTGGTAAGCAGTCTCCATGTCACCCCTGCGCTGCCTGATACACATGTGGCAGAGACATGCCTGAAACTGACAGGACCTGCTGCATCCCCTCTCCGAGCTGAATTTTGTACTGCTTTGTGCAGCGTTCTTCTTCTTTTTCTGCGGCTGCACGGTGCCTTCGAGACATTGTCTCAGTTGTTTCACAGATACCGTGGCACACAACGTCTTGTCCAGGAAGGGCTTTGACTTTGTAGAGCCGTGTTAGCAAGTTGCATTGTATTAGACTTCAATCCTTTAGATGATGTACGTTAAAGAGTCCTCGGAGGCGCTTCAGGTGATGGATGGGCCCCTGATCTTTCTGTTTCACAGGACAGTGAGTGAGAGAACCAGGTGCCATACACCCACCTTGTCTTCTACGCTCGTGATGTGCAAGGCTACGAGGACGCTTGCTCTCGCGAACTACGTGTCCGGACTTTGTGCTTTGGGATTTGGATAGCTTCTGCCTCAAAAAGTCAGAAAGGATTGGTATGCTTTAATACGTGGTTACGTAGTCTGTGAGCGATTCTTGTAACCATCCAGGCGACGCTGTGCCTTAGCCGAATGCAATCCCCAAGTATTCTAGCCTTTGCCCCTACATGTGCCATGCATGGCGATGAAGGATGCGCCGCAGATGATGTCCCGAATGGGAGCTGCGCACCCTGCCTGGATGACGGTTTCTCAGAAGTGTGGGTCCTTCATCCCGCCACGGGTGCTGTCCTTTGTTGAGTAGGGAGGGAACAAGGGAGATCCCGCTTTGAGAGCATGCGACAGGTTGGCATACTTGGTTCTGAAGGGTGTAGGGGTTTGGGGCTCTGTGAAGGTTTAGCTTAGGATTTTGATTCCCTTGCATGAGGAGTGTTAGCAAAGGCTCCGCCAGATTTTCCTTGGGCTGTCCGGTCCGCTTGTATGAGCTCTTAGCGGGGAGCCCTACCTGATGAAATCATGCGCGCAGCGTGCATGTTGGAAACTGCCATGGAGCTACTCTTTAGAGGTTGCTATTTAGTACAGAAAGAACAATTTTGAGTATATTGCAGTTGTCCCGCTCTCAACACCACTAGTCATGACAATCTATAACCTTCCGGTTCAGTGTCTCCTGCCCGGGCTTTCCTCTGTCAAAGCATCCATATAGACTCCCCAAGAGAGACTCCCGTAGTCTTACTAATGGTAAATACGAAGGGTTGTAAAGGGACTATAGGGTTCAGGATTTAGACTACGGGAGTCTCTCTTGGGGATCACTATTGCAGCCATAGCTCCGTCTAAACATTGGGCACCTCAACCACGCCCAAGCCCTGCTCCATGTTTCCTCTGCCTGCCAGATATTACAGGTACTGTAGCTTGGCTCCCTAAACCCTAAACCCGAAACCCTATCTGCCGATGCTTGCCCTTCAGGCTACTTGGGCATCAGTGTAGGTCTGCCAGCTCCAGGGCCCTGCTGCAGGTTATAAGTTATAGCTGCAGCCACTACATCACTAAATATTGGAATGATATTGGGATAATGGAAAATAAAATGGAAACGACTATCTAGGGGGATAATGGAAAATATCATGGAAACTGCTATACAGGGGGATGATGGAAAATAACATGGAAACTACTATATAGAAGGATAATGGAAAATCAAGTGGAAGCTAATATATAGAAGGATAAGGGAAAATACAGTGGAAACTACTATATTGGGTTATATGGGGGTTATATTGGGTCTTGCAACCCCACAATCCTCCAAGCAAGGAGCATGCTGGGGTCTCTTGCATTTGGCTTTGTCTCCGGCTACTGCCGAGCATCAGTGGTGTTCGTGATCGTCATCACGATCCAAAGTATCTCGGCTCCAGTAGCGCGGGGCCCAACAAGTACCTGGCATATCAGGTTCAGAAGCCTTTTGATAATTATGTGCCTTTCTTGGGGAGTTTCATCCAGATGGTGCTTTCCACCAATAGCGGGTTTTTCCAATCAGGAGAGGTGATCAAGGGACCTGCATTGTGTTTCAAATTCCACTGAATTTTTCACCCAAAACAGATGGCCGCATCATAGCATATCATACAAGCTACTTTGAAGACCGTTTGAGTGGTGCAGGCTTCTCTCAACAGGCTCATCTAGCGGAATACTGCTTGCATGGAGTAAGGATGGCTGTCCTTAGGTAGTGCTACAGGCCGTTGGGAAAATGTGCGTAGAGCGCGCGTCATTGTAGTGCGTATTCAGGTTGATTTAGAGTTATGGCGTGACGTAGTGCTTGGACTGTCCCTGCGTGAAGGGATACATTTAGGGCTAGCAGTGCGGGGGTATGTTGCCTGCAGGTGGCATTCGCGCATGCTTTAGGCACGAAAGATCGCGTGGACGCACGTCCGTTTTTCAACAATAAGACCGCTTCCAAAGCGATTCCATCATAATCCAAGTTTCTACAGTATTCTGCCCTCCTCTACGGCATATTAAGGACCCTAGACCCTCATTCTCGTGAGTGGGCTTAGGTGTAGCACTCATCTGCCTGCCCTACTGCCACGATGCCGTGGAGTTGGAGGACTCGACGTCCAAGCTCTGGATTCCTAAGCTCTAAACCCTAAAACCTAAAACTGAGACAGGGTGCTGGCCTGTTTAAATTGGAGTTCCTGTACTTCTTAGATACTTCTTATCAGTTTTTTTATAGCGATAATGCATGATTCATCAGCTTGTTTAACCTAATTCCTGCTTGGAGGGTCAGGGAACTTCTGAAGTAAGGTTATAGTGGAAGGAATTGATGTTGTTATGGGAGTTATATGTATACTTACTAAGTCTTCACCACACCCCCAATCAAACTGCGAGTTCTGGGATGGACCCTAACCCTAAACCCCGAACCCTAGCGCTTCTTCCATTCCTCCAAGCTGCCTTTGCACCACGGCGCTACGACGCAGAACCCTAAAATGCCTTGACATGCGCGGGTCTACATAGGCGAGGATGATAAGAAGGGAAAGAGAGAAAATGGAAAGTACCACGGTGTTTCAGGCTTAGGGTGTCGGAGCCTAAGTAGTTAAATCAGTGGAGAGTCGAATGGAAGAATATGGAAAGTCAGCTTTTACGGGATTGGTAGGGATGGTAATGTGTGCATGAAGACTGGGAATAAGGCTTTGAGGTATGTGATCCTATAGTTAAATATCGAAGGGGCGAAGATCGTACTTGAAGCTATTTCTACACTACATGAGTCCATGAGCCCCAACCCTAAGCCCGAAGTCCTAAACGCTAAAGCCTAAACCCAAAACCCTAAGCCCTAAACCGGGCCTTCATTTTGCCTTGGAGGCCTTCTCCCGGCTTTTTGGCACTTTTGCTGGCATCCGCCTGGGCATCCAAAGTCTGGTGGTGGCAGAATCTGGCCTGATCTAGCTGGTTTTTGGGGTTTAGGGGTTCAGGGTTTAGGGGTTCAGAGGTTTAGGGTTCAGGGTTTAGGGTTTAGGGGTTCAAGGGTTTAGGTTTAGGGGTTGAGGAAGCGTAAGAGAGGAATGGACACGGAAATGGAATCAACTGTATCAGTGGGTCTACGCTATAGGGATCCATGCTTCCATTCACTACAGGGGTTAGGGTTTAGGGACCCATTGGGATAATATAAGGGTTATATATTGGGGTAATATTGGGAAAATGGAAAATAAAATGGAAACTGCTATTTTGGGATTAGGGTGACAGGAAGTGTTTGATCCTCCAGCAAACAAAGATGACACCCCAGCTTTTGGGAGCTCAGACTGTTCACAAGTAGGAAAACCCCTACACCCGAAACCCTGGATAGAGCTCCATTTTATTTCCGTTATCCCAATATTACCTCAACATATAACCCTAACATTACGCCAATGGGTACCAAAACCACAAAGCCAGCAACATAAGCCCTATAATCCCAGTTTCCATCTCATTTTCCATTATAGTTTGAGTTGATTCTCCATGATTGGGGGTTTCCGTTTTCTTTTCCATTATCACAGGCCCTAAACCCTATAATACCCAAACCCAGCACTCCTACCCTCAAGCTTCAACGCCCTAATCAGTAATCCCACAAGCCCTACAATGCTTCGAGTGATGCCATGTGCGCCATAGTCTTAACTCCTTAAAGGGGGGGTATATAGGGGGATTATAGGGGACAGACTATAGCCCATGTGGCAGTATAGGGTAGTTAGTCACTTCATCCTTATCATTAAACCTCGCAGCCCGCTCAACCAATTTCGTTTGAGCGGCTTCTTCATCTGGTGGTTTCCGACTAGGAGAGGTGATTTTAGGGTTCCAATGGTTTGTACGGTTTAGAGTTTTAGGGTCTGGTGGTTTTGGATTAGGGGGAGGTGACTGTTCCTATAAAAGGTGCGGGCTGGAGGGTTGGTAGGCGCTGCTTGAGAGCTTAATGCCGTCCTCGGATGTTGAACGTCCTCCTCCCATACCTCAATATGAGCCATAGTCTAAACTCCTTAAAGGGAGTTATATAGGGGATTATATAGGGGACTACTATAGGCATTATTAAGGGGGATACTAGGAGTTTAGACTATAGCTCATATGGAACATTCCTTAACTTGTAAGACACCTCATTCACTGCAATATGGCGCGCCCTAAACCCTATGAGGGGAGGTGTTCAACTCTGCCTTGGATCACCCCACCCTTAGCTGGGTTGCTGTTAAGGAACTTGAATCAAGTTACTATAATACGGAAGCCCTATCATTTCTTGCATACCCGTAGTATGATACAAGTTTCTGAACATCAGCCCGGTTAAGGAGCCTAAGCCCTAAACTCCCTGGCCAGGAATTCTTTGGCGCCGATAGAGTGGCGCACTTGTATGGTCTGGCGACTAGGAGTCCAACAGTCCAGGTTTAGTGTTTAGGGTTTTTGGATTTTCAGGCCTTGCAAGCACTCAAGGAACCTTAAACCTCGAAATTGTATGGCTCGGTAGTTGACCCCTTAAGTCTCAAACTCTGCACCCTAAACCCTACCAAGCAGTTGATTCAGGTTGCTTTTGGGGTCGATGGAAGCTTGCGTTTTCCGGCTTGCTGCAGCACAACGGATATATCGAATCCCCAAACCCTGAACGCCACACCACAGCGCCCGATTCTCTCTGGAAATCAGCCCTAGGGGTCCAAGTACCCAAATAGTAGGGCTTCAGGCCCCAAAAAACATAATCTCGATGGATTTTGCCTAAACCCTCTATTTGGGTACCTAAAGCCATATTCAGGTACCTAAGACCATATTATTTAGATGCTAAAGCCTTAAACCCTACACCTTAGACCTTGCAAGGCGAATCTTCCCATTTAGGTACCTAAACCCTACTATTTGGGTACCTAAAGCCCTATTAAGGTGCCTCAGACCTTTCTTGCAAGGCGAATCCTCCCATTTAGGTACCTACACCCTACTATTTGGGTATCTAAAACCCTGTTAAGGTACCTCAAACCTTTATTGCAAGGCGAATCTTCCCATGAGTCTCGGCTCTTTGGTTGGACCAGCAGCACCTGGGGCCTGCAGTCAGTGCATGTTGGTGTTGGGCTTGAGGTTTAGGAGTGACAGCCCGAAATAGGGGGGTTATATAGGGTTATAGGGGGTTTAGGGTTTAGGACTTAGGGTTTAGGGTTTTAGGCTTGGGGTTCAGGGTTTAGGGTTATAGTCTAAACT